CCCCAGAGCCCAGAAGGTTCCCATCCCTCCCTACCTGCTCTGCTCCGTGGGGATCTCCGGGCGCCGAGGGTCCAGCAGGGCCTTGGGGAGGGACAGGATGGCCCCAGAGGGAAGCCCAACTGTGCATTAAAGGAAAAGCATCTCAAAATTCACAGAATGCCAGAAAAGCCAGGGTTGGAAGGGCCTTCAATGGATCACCCAGGCAGGGTGACCAGGAGCAGGTGACTCAGGAATGCATCCAGGTGGGTTTGGAATGGCTCCAGACCCTCCCTGGGCACCTGTGCCACTGCTCTGCCACCCCCAAGGAAAAGCTGTTCCTTGTGTTGGGGTGAAGCTCACTGGGTTTTAGTTTCTGGCCACTGCTGCTCTGGAAGGAGCACCTCATGGCCATTCCTGCCAGCATTTTCTGACAGCCAACACAGACACACTCCTGGTGCTCATCCCTGCCCTTACATGAGCCCAGCACAACTCCAAGCAGGACTTTGTGGCAGCAGAGTGCATTCTGCTGGATTTCAGAGCTCCCCTGTCCCCGAGCAGGCACTCACCGAGCAGGTGGCGGCTGGTGATGCCCCTCTCAGTGATGGTGGCCTCCATGGCACTGATGGCAGAGGGGAAAATGTAGGATTGCTGCAGCACCTGGGGCAGGATGGGGCGGTCCAGGGAGCTGAAGGCTGTGGCATTGTACTGCTCTGTGCCCTCGTAGAGCTCCAGCACCGTGAACTCGTTGCGCCGGGCCTTGGTGTTCCAGTACTGGTACTGCAAGCAGGAGTTCCAGGGGGATCAGGGAATAGCCAATAATCACATTAAACTGCCTCCATGCCACAAAGATTTTTGCTTTTTATATGTTTGCCATGGATTTGTAGCTCTGTAGATTATTATTATATAGTTACATAGCTCCTTAAGTAACTGTTGCACCTTCCTACCCCTCCCTTAGGTTTTAGAACAATAAGCAAACCTTGCTGGAATCTTATTTAGTCTTTGCTACATTGTGAACCAAGGACATCTCATTTCTCTATCACAGCCATAATAAATGGGGAGCTAGAAGCTAAGGGGGGCTTTAGAGGGGGCAGAATTGAAAGGGAGGGATTACTTCATTCACTGTCCCTCTAACTGGATGATTTTTAAGTATGTGTCCTGGTTTGAGAGGAAGTGAGTTTTTTGGGATGCAGTGGTCAAACCAATAGGTGCTCAGATTTGAATATTCTTCTGTGTGTTTCTTTTTACATATAGTTGTAGGTTAATAAAGTTTTTTCTTCATTCCTAAGCTGGAGCCTGCTTTGCTCTATTCCTGGTCACATCTCACAGCAGACACCAGGGAGAATGCATTTCCATGGGGGCACTGGCATTGTGCCAGTGTCAAACTGTGACAGCATGCTAATTTGTTAAACTTACAGAACTGTCAGATCTGCCATTATATTTTGTCATATCTGCACCATGAAGCACCTTCATTACAGGTCACTGCTTTTTATCACCCTACCATTGTCCAGCAGGTGATTTTAGGGGCACCCCAAAGAAGCAGCAGCTTACCACCACCCAGTTCTCAGAGTGCACCATGTGCACGGGCCCCTTGGCCTTTTTCTGCACGGAGGAGTGGATGATCCTGCCCGTGACCCCGTCCATGAGGTAGATCCCGATGAAGGTGCGCTCGTGGTGCGTGTCCGTGCTCTCGGTCACCACGGCCAGCAGGTTGGGGTTCAGGGACTAGGGATGGAGGAGAAACAGCTGAGACCCCCTGTCAGTGCCACAGACACCTCCTTCCTTCTCTTCATCTGGCACTGGGCACGTTGTGAACCAATTAGCATAAATCACCTCAAGAAATCAAGCTGCTATTTCCACAATTTCAGATTTTGACTGACTTAACTGCTGCATTAAAATATCAAAGTGAGCGTTCTTCCACAGAGACATTGCTGCCCAGAAAGAAAACTGGCACCACAGTGTAGTAAACCCCTCAGGTTTAGCCAGGGCCCCTTGGAGAANCACACACACACACAACACACACACAGCACACACACACAGCACACACGCACACACAGAGCACACACACACACACACACACACACACACAGAGCACACACACAGCACCTGGCACCAGCTGGGCAAGCTGGGCAGGTAAGGCAGAGTCCCTGAGGCTTGTCAGCTACACCCCCTGCCCTCAGAGATCAGCCCTCCATGGCAGAGGTGACACTTTACGGTGTCCCACCACATCCCAGCTGCACAGACACACAACACAAACTGCTCTGCCCCCTCACCTACTTTTTGCCCATTTTTCCTGTGACAAGACTATGGGATGTACATATGTGCCTCCTAATCAATCAATTTACTTTCTTTCACATTTTCACGCAGTGAAACAAGCAGGCTGCAAGAACAGACTATCAGAGTCACTTTGCCTCTCCAAGCCCAGCCAGGCTTCTCTCCCTCCAGGCCAAAGGTGATTGCTGGAGGGCAGCAGCCCCTGGCACAGGCTGTACCCAGCTCCAGCCACGATTTCACCATTCCCTGCTGACCTGAACAAAGCCCAGTTTATGCCCAGTCACCTTCCCTTCATGCACCCTAAGCCATGGTTCCCAGCTGGAACAGGAGGTGCAGCCACAACAGAAACAACTCTGGATCAGAACCACTTCTCCACAAAAACGAGCAGAAATAAATACTTGTCAGCTTTAGCTTGATTTCCTAGGTCTGAGTTTTTATTTAGTCTGCCTAAAAGGCTGAAATACAAACAGAAAAATAAAAAATGAAGAGAGGCTTTAGTGGAATATATTCAGCAGAGTCACACACGAGTTCCAACACCTCAGGCCTGAGCTCACCCTCCCTGCCAGAAGTGCCCTGATGAGGAAGGAGCCCAGGCTCTGATCATGCAAAGCAGCCTCTGCTCTCTGCTTCTCACACACTCATTGTGCTCAGCCTCCTCTCAGCCCAGCTCCAAGGCAGCAGCAGATGTATGTAAGCATTGTCAGGAGAACAAATGAGAACAATTTGGGAATAACAGAGTACAGCAGAGGCTGACAGCTCCTAAATTACTGCACAGGTCAAGCTGCACACCACACAGTGCCCAGAGGGTGTAAAGAACACAGAGGTGCAGAATCCAGCACCAGATAGGGATTGGGCAATGGAGGCTGGAGTTAAACATACTGTGGATGTTATGATAATGCAAAGTGGAAGGCAGCAGTCAAGTCACCATCAATCCTTGCAAATAACCACGGACAGAAGATAACAGCTCAATCTGGGATGTGCTGGAGTGTTATTCTGAGCACACAGTGAGCTTTAATGATGACTTTTCAGCCTCTGGACTGTGCTTTATTGCTTGGAGGGGTTTTGCTTCCCAGGGAAGAAGTGAGAGAAGTCTCAGTGTCACTGTACCCGTTAATCAGCACCAAACCCCAGCTCTGCTCCCGAGCC